TTGTTGGTGATCAAGCAGTTTTCAGTCACTAACAGTTACTGTTTCAGTACTAGTCCAAGGGCTAAACCACCCTCCAATTGTTTCAAGAATATGCACATCACATGTTCCAAAGTAGTCCAATTAAACTTTAAAAACCTCACTATATTTGTTCGACCTTGCGCAATAATGTAAATCCACCTTATTTACTAATTTTCAGAATGTTGGCCTTGCCAACCTGCACTGGCCATTCTTAACTGCAATCAAGGTGGTGATGAACCATCTTCTTCACAACTGTGTGACACAGTAGGCCATTCCAGAAAGAATTTAATTGCTTCATTTCATCACTGAGAGTCTGGAGCCACATATTGGCCACAATTGTTAAAAAAAAGGAAGTTGACAGGATTTTTTTATGATAATCCTACAGTTTCATGTCACCATGTCTTTAACCAGGACACTAGATTACTATTCCATTAACATAATTAATGTGTTATTGTCTCCAGTAACAAGCAGGCAATCACCTTTCTGAAACTAAACACCCAAGTTGTCATTTGAGCCATTATTAAGAGAGATCCAATGCCTGATGAGGAAAAACTTGCTTATGAAGCCTGAATCTCTGAAATGACAAGGTGGTGCTGATACAGGCACCTTGGTACATGTATACAGCATGTTGATTTCACTGCACTCTTCCCGTGAATACTTAGCAAAGTTCCATTTAAAAACAACAGCTGTAAATTGCTCCAAAACAAGTACATAACCTTTTCCCAGACAGGAGCAACTTTGATCCAAGCATTTCGGGATCACTAACTTTAACATTAACTGCACTTGTGATTAAACCATTTATATCAAGTCAAAAGTTAGCATCTCTATAATGTAAAAAGATATGCTGATTATCAAATACAGAAGTGAACATTTGTTATTCATACTTAAGAGTCATGCAGTTGTACAGCTCAGAATCAGACCCTTCAATCCAATTCATCTATCCCAACCAGATTAATCTATTCTCATTGGCCAGATTTTGGCCCATATCGCTCTCAACTCTTCCTATTCATATACCCACCCAGATAGCTTTTAAATATTGTTACCATACCAGCCTCCACCACTTCCTCTGGCAGCTCATTCCATGCACACACCACCCTCTGCATGAAAAAGTTACCTCTTATGTCCCTTTTAAACCTTTCCCCTCTCACCTTAAACTTGTGCCCTCTAGTTTTGGACCTCGCTATTTTGGGGAAAAGACCTTGGCTATTCACCCTATCCATGACCTTCAAGATTTTATAAACCTCTACAATGTCGTCCCTCAGTCTCCAACGCTCCAGGGGAAACAATCTCAGTATATACAGCCTCTTCCCATAGCTCAAACCCACCAAACCTGGCAACAACATTGAAAATCTTTTCTGAATCCTTCCAAGTTTCACAACATCCTTTCTAAAGCAGGGAGACCAGAATTGCATGCAGTATTCCAATCGTGGCCTAACTAATGTCCTGTACAGCCACAACATGACCTCCCAAACTCCTACACTCAACGCACTGATGAATAAAGGCAAGCATACCGAACGCCTTCCTCACTATTCTGTCTACCTGGGACTCCACTTTCAAAGAACTATGAACCTGCACTCTGAGGTCTCTTTGTTCAGCAACACTCCCTAGGACTTTACCATCAGTGTATAAGTCCTGCCCTGATTTGCACCTCATATTTATAAATTAAGTGCCATCTGCCACTCCACGGCCCATTGGCCCATGCGACTTCCTCAAAAACAAAATAAAATTTCTAATTAAGTTTCAAAGAGCAACATATTCTTGTTAATTCACAATCTATTCCTGATAATTCAGTGATTCCTTTTACTATAAAAAGCATAATTACACACCAGCTGGGGTTAAGTAAATATCACATGGTTTCAAAATGAAATACTGTATTCTTGAAAAACATTCAAGTAAAATGGTGACCTGACACAAGAAATTCTAGTATAATTTTCCAAGGGACTTGAGATAGGCGAGAAAGAAATCACCTTGCAAATCTGATAGCAATGCAATCCTGAAGTCTTGGTAGTTACAACAGTGTCCACTCATTCCACCAGTTGCTGAAATATCTACAGTTAGAAGTAACTACTTATCTATTAAATACTGTAGTTTACACTCGTTATTTGAAATATTACTTGTCTAACTTATCACATATTACTTGTCTAACTCTTCACTTGCTGTTCGATACAAGAAATATACTCCTCTACTATTTAGCGTTCTAGAGATGGTGTGTTGCACTTCCAGGTAAGATATTAAACTGAGGCCCTATCTATCCTCTTGGAGAAGTAAAAGGTCGCGCTATTCAAAGAACAGCAGAACCATCCCCAAATGTCTGGGTTAATTTCTACACCAGTAAAACATATCTGCTTATTTATCTCATTGCCTACAGCAAGTTTCCTACAGACGGCAAAGTGACTGTGACATTTCCTTTCATGATAACAATGACTACATGTCAAAGATTTTCATGAAGTGCCAACATCCTGAGGTTGCAGCTGTATAAATTTAAGTTTTTCAGATATGTAAAGCAGTAATCAAGCATGCCCATATAAAAACCCAGATATTTTTCCAACAGCGTCTACGCAGGACAAATATTAATTGCTAAAAGAATTGATGTACCAGTATATTGACATTTCTTCAAACATATTTGGCATCTATTTTATAAGTGTCAGCATTTACTACGGGGAAGGTCATGGAAGCTAGGGAACTTGGAGAACTAAACAGTAAAATCTTGAAAAGTGTCCATACTGCAGAAGAGAAGGTTCCGGACATCTTAAAATGCATAAAGGAAGATAAACTCCCAGGACCTTATCAGGTATATCCCAGACCTTGCTGGGAAACTCAGGAGAAGTATGCAGGCCCCTCTGCTGAGATACCTGTACCACTGACCGCCAATGGTGAGGTACCAGAAGGCTGGAGAGTGGATAATGTGGTGCCATTATTTAAGAAAGGTGGTAAGGAAAAGCCAGGGAACTACAGACCAGTGAGCCTGAAGTCGTGGTGGTAAGTTGTTGAAGGGGATTCTGAGGCACAGGATTTACATGCATTTGGAAAGGTTATGGACTGATTAGGGATAGTCAACATGACTGCGCATGGGAAATCGCGTCTCACTAACTTGATTGAGTTTTTGAAGAAGCAACAAAGAGGTTTGATGAGGGCAGGCATTGTCTATACAGACTTCAGCAAGGTGCTGACAAAGCTCCCCATGGTAGACCGATTAGCAAGGTTAGACAACATGAAATGCAGGGGCACCTAGCCAAATGGATTCAAAATTGGCTGAAAGTAGGAAACAGAGGGTGGTGGTAGAGGTTTGTTTTTCAGACTGGAGGCCTGTGGCCAGTGGTGTGCTGCAGGGAGCATCGCTGGGTCCACGACTTTTTGTTATTTATACAAATGATTTGGATGTGAATATAGGAGGAATGCTTAGTGAGTTTGCAGATGACACCAAAATTGGTGATTGTAGGAAACAGTAAAAGTGGTTATCTCAGCATACAACGAGACCTTGATCAGATGGGCCATTGGGCCAAGGAGTTGCAGATGTAGTTTAATTTAAATAATTGTGAGGCATTGCATTTTGGTACGTCAAACAAGGGCAGGACTTATACACTTAATGGTAAGGCCCTGGGTAGTGTTACCGAACAAAGAGACGTAGGAGTGCAAGTGCATAGTTTCTTGAAAGTGGAGTCACTGGTAAACAGGGTGGTGAAGGCAACGTTTGGCACACTTGCCTTCATTGGTTGGTGCATTGAGTACAGGAGTTGGGAGGTCGTGTTGCAGCTATAATAGGACATTGATGAGATCACTTTTAGAATACTGCATTCAATTCTGGTCTCCCTGCTATTAGAAAAATGTTGTTAAGCTTGAGAAAAGATTTACAAGCATGTTACCACAATTGGAGGGTTTAAGTGAAAGAGAGAGGCTGAACAGGCTGGGGCTTTTCTCTCCCCGGAGCATCAAGGCTGAGGGGTTACCTTATAAAGGTTGATAAAATCATGAGGGCTGACCAGCCAAGGTCTTTTTTCCCAGGGTAGGGGAGTCCAAAACTAAACGGTACAGGTTTAAGGTGAGAGGAGAAAGATTTAAGAGGGACCTGAGAAGCAACTTTTTAACACATAGGGTGGTCAGTGTATAGAACAAGCTGTCAAAGATGGTAGAGGGAGGTACAATTACAACATTTAAAATGCATCTGATGAGTGCATGAGTTGGAAAGGTTCAGAGGGATATGGGCCAAATAATGGCAAACGGGACTAGATCAGTTTAAGATACCTGGTCAACACAGATGAGTTGGACTAAGGGTCTGTTTCTATGCTGTATAACTATGACTCTCTATAATAAATTGAAAGGGATCAAAGCTTGCTGAGTGCTATTACACCTGCAACATTACACCCAAATAAATAAAGTTAAAAAGATCAGTTTGTGAATGTTGTTGTACCTGGAAACCATAAAAAAGCATGAAGACTGGAAGTCAAATGCCCATTGAAAAAAAATTAAATAAATTATTGCAGTTACCAATTGTGACAACACCCACCAAACATCAGGCTGTTTAATTTACACATTTGTAATGGACAAATTTGAGGGGAACAGAGGCACAGTTCAGCAGAAGTAGTTCTACAGCAACACACCAAAGTTTCAGGGGTTTCTTCACAAAATCACTGTTGTGTTATTCCTTGCATTAACTGCTTTCACTCTATATGTAATTTGAGTACATCATTATTTTACTTGTTCTGAAATATTTTCAGAAGTTTCATCCACGAGTCTAGTTCAAAAGATCAGTTATTGGTCATGCAAATCATCTCGTTTTAGATATTTATCACATCAGCGCTCTAAACAGAATTACAAGCATTCTTACTACTAGGCCTACTCAGCAGTTCAAATAACCGTTCAATTAAAAAGAATAATCGGTCTGAGACGGTCAAGTATTACGACTGTGGACAAAAGTGGATAACGTAACTCGTCAAAAAGAGAAACGTTGTTAAGAAGTAATGGAGTCAATACAGACAACTTACCTTCATTTTCGAGTGTCCTATTTACGTGAATGCTTCCAGCTCGAAGTTGTGATCACTGCAGTTAAGCAAAAGATATGATCATAGTAGGCTCGTTAAAATTAAACTGCAATCTACGAGGACCATGTAACACACCAAGCTTTCAATGTACTCAGATGTAAATAACATGTTTTCCCTTCGTCGTACTCTACATGCCCTATCCAGGGGAAGCTACGAAGTTCATACACAAGAAATTTTTAAACGATACATTAAATAAATTACTGAGAGATCAATGAAGATACATTTGAAATGCGATGTGGATTTTTTAGGACAATTTAACTGCCCCTTCCCGCTTGTTCCTCCATCCTGAGTCACGTCGCCATTGCTCTCTCGATTTCTGCACCATGTCAGTTCAACAAGCTCAGATCCTGTAGTACAATTATGGAGGTGTCCCGGCAAATCAGTCGCCTTCTCCGCTCATAGATCGACAGCCAAACGCACCCTCCCCCTCCAACACCCTCCTACGAGTAGAAAACCCTCGTTTACCACCACTTTTTCTTTGCAGTTCGATACGAATTTAGAAACGCACTCTCTGTAGAGAAGCAAGTGAGGCCAGTACTTTAAAACAGGTCGATGGGAAACAGTGGCGAAGTTAAAAAGAGGACTGCCTCGGACCGCCTTTTAAGCCCGTCCCCCCTCACATCTAAGGCGCTTTAACAAAAATCGCGACGATCGAGGCTCTTGCACATGAATAAAAAAAGCAGGAAACCACCGTAAACATACAAGTCACCTTCGCACTGTCCCAACAGATTAAAAACCTTGGCTCTCAATTGAACTACCGGTCCAAGGAGAGCAGCAAAATGCATGAACAGGCGGGCAGTGGAGAAGTCGGAGCTGACTGCCATTCAATGCCCCCTACGTTCACTTTAAACCGAGAGAAGAGGGGGAAAGGGCTCCGGCGAATTCACCTCAGCTTCATAACCGAGGACCAGCCAACCTCCGCCCACGACGCTATTTAAAAGCAGCCTGATTTTTTTTGCACTAAGCCTACAGAAGTGAAAGGGCCAGCCAGGCTATTGGAGGAACCGCATACTCACACACGTCCACCGCTAACGTCCACTTCCCCGGGTCCCAGCGAAAACCGAAATAACAAGCTGTTGAGCGAGCCTGCCCTTCTCGAACTCCGATTGGCTGAATGTTGAGCAAGACGGCCGCACCACTCACCGATTGGCTGCGCGGTCACATGGAAACGGATCCGAGCGGCCTCTGAGGCCCAGGGTGCAACGCATCCCCCGCCTTCTGCGCACGCTCTGTAGCCCCAGACGGCGCTTGAGCCGTGCGCAGGCGCAACTGGGAGAGGTGCTCCGGCGCCATCTTGGTGGCGATTTTTGCTGTTTGAGGTCCTGTTGAAGCGGCAGCAGAAGCAGCGACCGCGAGGAGGTTGAGGTGGGCCAGGAAATTCTTTGCTTTCAGCTGCTATTTGGTGGGTTCGCCGTTGTTTTTTCATCGGAACTCTTAGAATACTGTCTAAAGTAAGTTTTAGGAATGTTGCGGAGTGTAAAAAATGTTCGAGTGAGTAAGAATAAAAGGTCAAATGGAGGCTATTTCTGTTCTCGTCATTGGGGAGTTGGTTCGATTCAATGGCGTCTTTGACTGTTAGTGCGTCATGGAGCTGTTACGTTCCCGGAAACAGCTGCGGCTGTAAATAGTGTGCACGCGGCGTGCACGATGGGTTTTGTCCTGTCAGAGTCCAAAGTTGTTACTACTACTGCTGCTGGCCACCCAAAGTTTGTAGCACCCAAAAAGTCCAATACAATATAAAACTTCACTTGTAGTTAAAACTCACGATGGGGAGGGGGGGGGAAGCGCTAATTTGCACTTACGTAATGCTAAACCTAGTAAAACAACCTAAGGTCGCCCTTCGAGTGCGTATACCCTGGAAGAAATTTATATTTATTTTGAAGATTCATCTGTAACTTTCATGGCTATTTCAGTGGCTGAAGTATCAGGAAAACGTGGTGTCAGTTTTTTGGCCTATTCGTCAAGAATTGTACTATGTTTTAAGGGTAGTGTTAAAGAATCTGAATCTTTAAATTGTTCTCATGTTATACCAATTCTTTGACCTTAATGCAAAACCAAGTTCGTGGCTGTACTCGGTTCTTTGAACGTTTCAGGACATGTTCTAGTTTCCCATTCTGTCCTGATTACGCCTTCTGTGTTCTTCAAGTTTTTCGGTTGTTGCGGTCAAATGTATCATTTTATCTCCGATGCATATTATGAGACCTCTTCCTTTTGAATTGTTTTCTTCCCTTTTTCCTGCTATTGCTAAATTTGATCAGTGTTTTATCCATATAGCTTTCTATATTTTTCATCGTCTTCACTTGGGGACTGTGTACAACAATTACATATTTCAGAGTTAAAGCATTTACCAGTTGATCTGGCTTCACCGTAAGTTCACCTCCCATTCTCCTTGGCCAAATGCTTCCACTACCCTAAGATTATTCTGAAAAGGGAGAATGATACAAGTCTTTTCTGTTACTACATATTGCCCCATTATTTCTTCTTGTGATCTGTTTTCACGAAGGATATTATCAAACTAGAAACTGTTAGAAAAAGATTTGCCAGGATGTTGCTGTGAGTGTTTAAGTTATAAAGGTAGGCTAGGACATTTTTCACTGGAGCACAGGAGGTTAAGGAATGAACTTAGAGGTTTATAAAATTATGAGGGGCATAAATAACATGAATAGCAAAGGTTATTTTTCCATAAGGTGGGTGAGTTCAAAACATGGGCATGTTAAGTTGAGAGGATAATTTTTTTAGAAAGGACCAGAAGGGCAACATCTTTTACACTGGATTGTGTGAAACGAACTGCCAGAGGATGTGGAGGATGCAGGTACACTTATAAAGTTTAAAAGGCATTTGGATAAGTACATGAATAGGAAAGGTTTCAAAGAATATGGGCCAAACGCAGGCAGGTTGGATTAGTTTAGTTTGCCAACATGGTTGGCGTGGACTAGTTGAACCTAAGGGTCTGTTTCCATACTGTATGACTCTATGATCTCATGGATTTCTTCAACTCTGTTGAAAAACCTTTTTCTATTGTTGTCTCCTCTTTTACCCAAATTACTACTTTCTATATCCGTTTTCTCATTCATCCTATTTCTGTGCTGTATCTGTGATATCCAGTGAATTGCAAGGTGTTGTTTCTTATTACCTGCACACTCCAAGCTTATCTCTTCCATAGGATTTAATCCTTGCTCTATAGATTTTCCTCCCAACTCAACTGATTGCTCAGTAGACCTTTGACTAATAGCAGAATACCATGGATGCTGGAAGTCTGAAACACATACAATGCTGGTGAAATTCAGATCTGGCAGTATCTCTGGAGAGAGACAGTTAATGTTTTGAGTTCAGTTTGACTCTTCTTGACCCAAAAGTCAAGATAAGCTGGGACTGATATGCTGAGGAGCAATAAAGAGCTTGTTTTACTGCTAATTTAGCAACTCTGTGCAGACCAGCAAACGGATCTTGGGTTTTCTTAGATTGGTTGAACATTCACTGAGCTGCAAGAGCCATGTTCCTTTTCATTTGACATTTTGCATCCACTTTTTTTTAATTACCTTGGTGTTTACACTCTGTTTTCAGGGAATAGATATATAGGCCAATATTCTCTTACATGAGTTCTAATACAGGAAAGAACAACACTGGATCTTCAAAAAATGCAGCAAGAATGTCATCTTTGTACTATGGCATGTGGTCTGTTGTAATTGGTGGAATTGTCTCTAACTGAACACATACAATTGGCAAGAAGACGATGAAATGCTTTCAAAGCATCCAAATCTGGATTTGATTAAACCAAGAAGTGAAAAGTCATACTGTACAAATGATTTTTACACTTTTCTATTTTCTACTTTTCCTATTTTTACAATAGATATGTTACCAGATCCAATGATGGAACTGACCTTTTGTTATTGCTTCTTGCTTTTAAAATTGACCAAAGTCAAAACTGGATTAGACTGATTTAAAGTAATTCAGTCTACTGTTTATCAGTCTATGAAATACATCTTAATATGCAAAAACCAATGCATCTGATGTGTAGGAGATTGCCAGACTGAGAAAGTAGTGGGTCCTTTCCTTTGGAGATTCTATTAATAGTTTCAATCCCTCTGGTTGGTTAAGTGTAAAGTAGATACACTTTCTTCACTTGTTACTTTACTCCTACTGCTGGCACTATAGCATCTCTTTTGTAATGCATGAAACCACAGCATACTGAGTTTACGTAGGCAGTTTTTATTATCAACAAAGATGAGTGTGGAAAAGGTTGACAACTTTAACACAAACTAGTAAACCTCTGCGTGCGCGCGCACACACCCTCCAACATCGATGTTAAAGATCGATTTACCCTATTTTGAAGTAGTGGAGTTGATCCTTCAACCAAGATCACTCGAGTAGATTATCGGATAGGATCTTGCTGTATGTAAATTGCCATGTTTTTTGCATTAGAAGAAGCAACTATCACTCAAAAAGAATGTGATTGACTGAAATAGGCTTTGGGGTATCGTGTGGTGTTCAAATGAGTGACTTTAAATAATTTTTCTTTTTGGAAGTTAGAATTTTAATTGTTCCTGAAAATGCTGTGGAGTGTTGTCATAGAAACCTATTGATGGAATTAATTGATTTTTAAAGCCATTGTGGGTAGACTGCTTTGCGCTGGATGGCGTTGACCTGTTTGTGGAGCTCCACTCTTCTAGACAGGTAGCAAATTCAAATGCGTTCCTTCCTTGTGATGTCTTGAAGTAAGACCTGAATTTAATGATTCAGATTTCCCTTTGAGCCCTTGTTGAAGCCATGGAGAATCTCACTCAGATTTGACCATTTACGGTTATGTTTTAAACAATGCTAAGCAATATTAAGAATATCAGGAACTTGATTTTCTTGCACCTAATCCCAAAATTTGGTACTTTGAGCAAGGAAAATTGCAATGATGCCATGTAGAATTTTATAAAATGAAATCTAAGTCCAGTAACTTCATGTGAAATAAACTATTTAAATGCACTTAAATGTTTGTCTGCAGTAAATTTTGTTGCAAGATAATTATGCATGAGGAAGGCCTACTCGGTCACGAACAAGGTCCCTTTATGTCTCAGTTGGGCATACAAGATTCCATGGCAGTACTGAAAGTACTGAGTATTCCCTATTTCCTGGGCAATTTTAATACCACAACCAACATTACTAAGACAGATTATCCACGCTATCTCCTTTTTGTATGTGGACCTTATTGAAATAAAATTGTTGTTCTAAGTTGGGTTAGAAACCGTGAATTAATTTTTTTTTGAGGAATAGTTTTTGTCATGCAGATGTGATATTTTTGGCTAATTTATATAATTTTGCACTAATATGTGTTATACCTCACTCTCTTTTGTAAATCTTGGCAAATAAATAACCCAATCTAAAAAATAGGAGCTGGAGAAGCTATTATGCTTTGGATCTTGCTCTACCAGCCAGTAAGACAAAGGCTGATCTTCCACCTCTGCTCCATCTACTCTTCATAATCCCCATTTCACTTAATTCCTTTGTAGCTAAAAACTGCTTAAACTGTCCACCTATTATACATGGCTATCTTTTGTAGCCATTTCCTCTGTTCCATATGCACACTATACTGCATTCCACATTAAACCTCTCATTAACCAGCTTTCCATAAGCAATATTATGCTAAATTATTTTTAAAAATTATTCTTCAGTTTTCCATAGTCTTGCTGCTCACATACAGTCCCTCTGTCATTGTATTTGACATTGCTGGCAATCATTATAAATCAGTGGCAATCTCATTGTGGCTCATTCTTGGGCACTCTAGGACAAAAACTTAGTCAGTACTGTAGTGCATTTGAGACAGTTCTGCACAGTCATCTGTAACCTGGATGAAGTGTTGAGCAGCAGTGCTTGTACCCTTTCAGATGAACATAAAATATTCCATAAAAATATTTTAAAGAGCAGCAGGGGAGTTATTTCTGTGCGGGCCAATATTGATTCTTTCTCAATTACATAGTTACCACAATGCTTTTGTATGAATTGGCTGCCTCATTTCCTGCAACAATGAATGCACCTCAGACATGTGTGCAAAGTGCTATTGTGAAAGGTCTGGTAATAATGGTGTATTCTGTCCTCCACATTGCAGAAAATGAGTGGCACTGATGTCATTGTGTACCAAAACAGGCAGTTGCTACCCACTCTGCTGATAGGCATGTGTCTGTACGGCTGACATCATTTATTGTGCCTTCAGCCCTACTTGCTGGTCTGCCTGTCTCTGAAAAGTACAACCCTGAACCATCATTTTGGGCTGACAAAGCAAATCTCACAATATCTTAAGACTCTGTACTACAGAGAAATGTTTGGACCACAGCATGCATTATTGATTCTACAATTGTTTTAAATGACTTGGAGTTCCTCAATGTTGTGGATCGTCCAACTTTCAATATAAGGAAAAACTGGCATCTTTGGCATTGCACTGCACATCAGTGTCCGTGACATCAGT